AGCTAGGCTACCCCAGGATTTAGCAATCAAAGAGTGAAGGCCTAGCTCAGTGGGGAGAGGGTTCCTGCAGGGCCGTGCTCCAGGAGGAGGTCTGTCTGATTGGTACCATCCCAGGCCATACAGCTACTTCACAGATCAGCTCTGCCAGACTGAGGCACTATGCTTCATCAGTAGCAGAGAGAAACCCCTGCCGTATGCTCAGCATCATTTAAAAACCTTTGTGATTCCAAAAGAAGATGCACTCACATTCCCAGGCCAAGACTCTGATGGATGAGTTGGAAGGTATTAAAGAGGGTCCAGAGACATTATACTTTCAGTTCATGTCTATAAGATCTGGCTAAGATGCTCATCTTCCATACAGAGGGTGTCCATCCGAGTCCATGGGCAGTTCTGAGACACCGGATGAGTCAGTAGGCAGAAGGCAGGTGAGTTGGAGAAATACAATGCATTTAAAGTAAAATACACAGAGTAATGCATTTTTGTGAATGTACTCAAGTATACAGCACATCTAAGTCGGCATGTGGGTACTTATAGATATATCTATATGTGTAAGTACACATGTACCTAGAAATACAAAAAATGAACTGGTTACCAGCCTTCAACACAGTGTTATTATCATTTAGTGGAGGTGGCTGCCAATTTGGCCATGTATGGGATATGGATTTGTTTGGGAATAGCCCTTGGCAGAAGGGTTGGTATTTAGAAACCGCAGAGACATGAAAAAGAAAAGGTACAGAGGGAAACTAAGACAAAAGAATTGGCAGATGCATGCTGGGCCCAGGCCAATATCTACCTCCTATGAGAACAGGGTAGGAACAGGGCAGAGGTGGTAGTTAACATAGTTTTCATCACATCTGCCATGTTTAATCTGTTCTAAGAATAAAACATTCAATGAAAATATCAGATGCTGAATAGTTGGAATAGTAGGAATGTGAGTGTTGGTTTATTAGTCATCTTTGTATTTTTCTGTACTCCTTACTTCTCAGAAGATAATGGAGATCATTCCAATCGTTTCTCCACGTCCATGTGCTATTGCCTGTTGCCCTCAGGTGTAGATGGCAGGAATTGTTTGTGAGCGTCTTCCAATCCTCCCCCACTCCACAAATCCTCAGATTTCTAAATTAGCCCAGACTAGCCCTTTGCAGATTAACAAACTGATTTTTAATGATTAAAACTAATATAAATAAGGCCTGTTAGATCACAGAACTTGAGAGGCTAAGGCAAGAAAATCATTAATTTAAAGACTGCCTGGACTACATAGGAAATTAGAGTCCAGCCTGGGCTACACAGCAAGACCTTCAAAAAAAAAAAAGCAAATGAAATGCATAAAACGGATGCTGTTCATTTCTAAGTTCAAGCATCCGTCAAATGCAGCAAGAAGTTTCTGGCATGCTGGGCTGAGTGATCGATGGGTTCTGCCATAAGTTGCTCCCGGCCTAGGAGGACAGACAGATGATATGTGAGGGGAAAAAAATGAGAATGCACTGTGGGCAGTGTGTAATAAGGACGTTTTTACTACTGCATACTGTCTGAAACAAAGAGGTTCATGATGGAGTCTTAGGGGGCTATATTTTCACAAAAGGACATTAAAAGGGGTCTGGAAAGACTAATACATCAAGAAAAGAAATAAGAGGGAAATCGAAGACATGGAAACCCTTTATATGCCAGTGTTCGGGTGTAGAGCCCAGTGTCCTTAAAGACAGTGTGCTATAGGCTTGGACACCAGCCTGTGGCACTAATGGGAAGTGGCAGAGCCTTGATTGGGTCGAGCCTAAGAGGAGGAAACTTAGTCATTAGCAATATGACTTGAAGTAGACGCTGAGATCTCAGTCTCCTCTGTCTTTCTCTTGGCTTCCATGCCACTATGAGGTGAGTAGGCATCCCCTCCGTGCACCGACACATGGATTGAGTGTCAGGGAACTAAAAGTCCCCAAAACCACGATCCCAAAATAATGTTTCCTCCAATATGTTGATTTCCTAAAGTATTTTATCACAGCCATGGGGAGCTAACTAACACAGTCAATAGCCTACATATTACAGCATGCAGCAACCCATGGCTAAGTAGTAGTATTCTTAACTTACACTTCAGGAAATAGGTGTTCTGAGAAAGTAAGCAGCCGTATGGAAGCCAAAGGCGAATATGGATTCTCACCCAGATGTGAAATGCTCAAACCCGAAAGGAGTGCTATATAAAGAGACGGGGTTCACCTAAGGCAGAATTGGGAGCCTTCCAGTACACATGCTGTCACTCTCCCACCCCAGATCTGGATATTCAGTGTGGTAATCTCTACTATCAACTCGACTGGCTTTAGAATCACCTAGGAGATTGAGGTACATCTTTGATGTGTCAGTAAATACGTCTCAGAGAGAATTGAGGAAGAATAACCCACTTAGAATATGAGTGGCATCATCCCATAGTCTGAAGGTTTAAAAGAGGTGATCAATCTCACCATCAAGGTGAGCTGAGAGGTAAGTAGCCCCAGCCATATGTTCCTGCTGCTATGAACTCTATCAGACCCTCCAACCATGATGAACTCCAAAATATGAATGAAAAAAAAATCTTGTTAGTGATCTGGTCATAGCAACTAAAATGGAAAGTAACTGATATATTCATTGACAACCAAAGACCAAAATTATTTGTAACATATGGTAACTGTTTATTGATTCCTTTTTGGTTTGGTTTGATTTGATTTGGTTTTTTGAGACAGAGTTTCTCTGTATAGTTTTGGTGCCTGTCCTGGATTTCACTCTGTAGACCAGGCTGGCCTCGAACTCACAGAGATCCGCCTGGCTCTGCCTCCTGAGTGCTGGGATTAAAGGCGTGCGCCACCACGGCCCGTTGTTTATTGATTCTAAAATGAGATGAAATCTAAATAAAATGGAATATGATCAAGATCAGAGAGATGCAAGATTCTAAATAGTCAATCTTGAACACACCATCTCTCTCCATTTGCCCCTAGCTTCAAGTTGCCTGACTTTAGAAAAGGAGATGTTTTACTTCTGCCTATGGAGACACATCCTCCTTGACATACCAGGATTAAATAAGGCAGCTCAGCCTGGAAAAGGAGATCAGGGGATGGGAGATGCGGAGGTCAGCTGAGGGGAGGCACCGCCCTGGATGCTGCCTAATCCATCCGACATGGGACACACTGTTCCAGAAACAGGATGACAATTAATAGGAAAAATCTGCTTTCACATCACTGCCAAGCATGTTTCAGGGTCTCAGCTGCTGGTGTGCCTCCTTGGGGGAAGAACAATAATGCCCCCTTCTTCCTTTTGGTCCACATCCTGATGTTTTCTTGTGGAGAATAAGGAAAAGGTTGCAGGAAAAAAAATATAGCATCAGTGCCCATAGCCAAGAGCCCAAGAATTACCCAAGACAGAAGGCTTTGAGTCACACAGCAGCCCTTCCATCTAAACCTGTGGAGTTCTGTTTGACAAATGGTAAGTGCTGGCAGAAAAAGTGTCTTCAATCAAAGTGCCTAAGAGTAGTCTGGACTTGTTTGAGCCATTAAAAACCTATTTCCTCTTTGGAAATTACCAGCATATGTATTTCTCTTGGTCAAAATATTTCAAATTATTCACAAACATTGGAGATATAATTCAAAGGTAGAACAATTACCTACCATGTGTGAGCCCACTGGGTTCAATCCTGACTCCCCCAAAATAGGAAGAGAGGAAGAAAGAAAAGACTGAAGGAAAGGAGAGGAACAAGAAGAGACGAGAGAGGAGAGGGTGTGGGAAGTAGGAAAGAGGGAAGGATGAAGACAGGAAAGCCAAAAAGGAAAAGAAAAGCTGGCTTGCCTTCATCCATGACGTGTTCAAATTCATCAAAAGCAAACAGTTCAGAGGCAGAAGACTCCAGGAAGACTAGTCTATCTGGCCCCACATTTCAACCCTCTAGTCATCTCTGGGTAGCTTCCTAGATGCCGGTGCTCTTAATTTTTAAGGGATGCCCAGAATCTTGAGAATATAATTAAATCTAGCTCCTTTTATGTACAAATACTCAACCCTTCACCATGTATAGTCACTCAAACATTTATTTTTGCATATGAATCTGTGGAATTCTGTTCCTGTGAATGTCATTCATGTTTTAATCCCTGAGCCCTGAAGTCGGCACTCCCACCACAGAAACTAGCTTCTAGTATTAAAGCCTTAGAAGTTCATCTTTCTGGATTTCATAATGTCACCAGCAAACATCAGCATGAATGTGGCTTAAGTAATCTTTAACTCTCCCTCCCTACCCACCTCTGCCAACATCAGCCATGCATGACAGCCCCAGCTGGGAAGACATCTTGAAAATAAGGTTTCAATTCTGGAACCCATAGTAACCAGTTTCTTTCAAATCATTTGTCCACATCCATCTCTGAGCCCAGCTAGGGGGATGCAAAGTCGCCATGTTAACCCTTTTCATGCCAGACGCCTCACAGGAGTTTTGGCAGAGCACCACATCCCAGCCCTCCACTTCTACCATGATGGGGTCGAATACTCTGAACATGGAAGCCTGCCAGCAGATTTAGAAACCGTGTTGCTCTTGGCATCCATTCCAGGACTCTGTGTAGAGAGCTACGTGCTGAGATACAACAGCACGGGCAGCTTTTCAATACCAGAGTTCACCACCCTCCATCTCACTGTGCTAAGTCACAACAAGATTCCAAAGATAGGTACGGACAAGAGAAAAAACTCACTCAAACATAGAGTCCCTTCGACGGCCACTAATGAAGAGAATTGACATTTGTCTCAAACCATCCTCATCACACAAGTCCATCTGAGCAACCAGTAGTTTTCAGCATCCCTATTTGGTTCCCAAGATCCCAACACAGTCTTTGGTCCATAATTACCTAGAATAGGGTATAGATAGGGGGTCTCTAACAGGGTTACTGAGATCCAATGACCAGAGACTTCCTCAGAGGGTACACGAAAGTGAAAACAGTATCTTGTGATGAAAAGGAGCCATGCTCCCACTACGGAACTCTTGAAACTAAAAAGTGCCACCTTACCCTTCATTCCAAATTTGGACCGGCGACCATACTTGTTGATCATGATAAAGAGAACCACCAGAAGAACACAAGCAAAGGCAGCAAGTCCGACTGCTATGGAGACCTATTAGGAGCCAAACACAGACAGTCAGGAGCAGGGACCCGAAGCCTCGGAGCCTCAAAAGTAATGTGTGAGAACAAACCAGTTTGGGCAGAAGAGGATCCTCTAAAACCTCTGCTACTGAGGGGTGCACAACCCGGAGCCTACGTGCCACGTGCACCCCAGGACACCTATGCCTATGACAATGCCATGTCACAATGTCAAACTAACTATCGGGCAACCCTGGAGTAAAGGCTTCAGAAGTGGTTTATGAGATTCTAAGAGAATCTTAAAATTTTTATTTAAAAAATATAAATGAATAAGCTGGATTAGGACAAGTTCCCTGATTCACTGCTCTGAGCCCCTCTTACATGGAGGCTGTTCTAGAATTGCAGCAGCAAGCTGAGAGAAACCTCCGTCTGGTGTCTTAATTAGTAAGTAAATTCTCTATCTTTCCACCAAAACCTTTTCATGGTATTTCTACTCAGAGTGGTCTAACAGTTCTGGACTCAACAGACTCCTTTCTACTTCTTCCCAGGAAAACCTCAGACCCTGAGACAGGCATGGAAAAACCTATCCAAGGAGATTCTCTGAGTAATTTGGGGTTTTGCAGAAGGTTTGCCCAGTCAGTGGGCCTTGCAAGCCTGCTGGGCCTGGCTCGGAACAGACTGGGAATTTCAAACCGCTCTCTTCCTGGCCGTGGCGCTTGGAGCTGATCCTCAAAGGCTTCTTCAAACAATGAGATACTCCCATCAAACATGGACAGTTTAAAAAACCTCAAAGGAAATCATTCCTCACTGTTTTTTTTTTTTTTTTTTTTTTTTTTTTTTTTTTTTTTTTTTCTGCCATTGGTACTGAGGCTCCAAGTGAGAGACTGTGTGGAGAAGTTAGCACCTCAAATGAAGTCTGGAAATGACTCTACCCTTCAGTATTTCCCTCTTAATCAGGAAGTAACTCACCCCAAAAGTGTCTTCCTCTGGTTTGTGGGTCACAGTGATGGGAGGTGTGGGGCTTGCGTCAGACTCTGAAAAACGATACAAAAGAAAGGAGAGCAGTTAGCTTACTGGCCAAGAGCCCCAGCTGAGTGCCTGCCCTGTCCTTGGGAAGCAGGTCCCGAGAGCCACCCTCCTGGCTGAGCAGACACCCTCCCAGGACAGAGTGAGTCCCAGTACAGCTACCTGCCTCAGTGCTACCAAAAAAAAAAAAAAAAAAAAAAATCTCAAAGGAATGCAGACCTCTACCCACTTCCTAGCCCCATGCCGGAGAACACCCCACAATCTGAGCAGCATGCACCCTGAAGTACAGGAGGGGAATGAGAAAAATGGCTTGGAATCCTGGCTAGCATGGGGATTAGGAAGATTTTAACAGCGACAGCAGCTGTCACTGACATTGTTACCCCTTTGCTTAGGGAACTTCTTTCCCTCTCCCTTCCTGTCTCACTCCTTCCCTCTCTCACTCCAACTCCTCAGTAAAATTCAGGCTCGAAACTCAATGAACAGCCCTCCAGCCATTCCCCTGACACTGATGTCAGAACACAATGGTGGTTGGAATTGGACAACATTCAATGGACCAGGAAACGCCACTGAGGGTCATCCTCTATCTACAATCACTTCCTTGCAAGAAGGTTCTCAAGGGACACCTATGGGATTATGAGATTTTTTTTATGACCAAGAACAAGTGAAGAGGTCACGGTTAGCATTTACACTTGTGCCAAAGAGGCAGAGTATCCCTACAGAGGGTTGTTCTACCATTTCTGGCCTGAAATTGGGCAGAAATGGCAACGGTTGCTGCTGCTCCCATCGTAGGGAAGTAATCAAAATGAAAGCGAAACCCCAACTCCTGCAAGGATGATCCAGCCCTACCCTCAACTCCATTATAAACTGAGCTTAGAGATGCGGTTCAAGGACATGGGAGCCCCTGAGAAATCACAGTCCTACCCAAGGTAGGTTCTGGCCAAATGCTTCATCTCTTAAGGCAGATGAGAAATACTGGCAAGTTCACAGGCTCTACATTTCCTCTCTAAGAACAACTGAGATGATCAATGGGGCATGATCATCTCATATGAAACCTATTATTCACCTGCTGCAGACCCTTTTCAGCCAGGTAGAGAGATTGGAAATATGGTCAGACCTTAGAAAACACCCTGACTGGGGCAAAGTGGGGATACAGCTCAGGTGCAGAGTACTGCCTAACCCTGGATTTAATCCCAGCACAAAATGAGGGGGTTGGGAGTTCTCTAGGAGAAACTGTGGTCCAAGGCAATTATGCAAGAAAAGTGTGCCTAGGATTTCTTCCTTTTAATAATGCACTAACACTCTCAACTGCCAAGGGACTGGGAACACGGACTAGGCAAGAGGGCAGTCTGGATTTGACAGTCACCAAACTATCAGGACAAAAGAGTTTCAAACCCAAAGTCAAGGAGACTTACCAAAGTCAAAGAAATCTGTGCTCTCTGGGGGGAAAAGAACAAAGAAGTAATTAACAAATAGAATAATAACAAAAGGGTCAGGGGTTGTATAGGACAGCAACCTACTAGCTGTGATCTCTCCTGATGATCACAATTCCCCATTCCCACAGCAAGGGACACAAAGAAATCCTTCCTCAGTCACCTTCTCCAACCACTGCACAACCTCTTCAGGGGATAATCCTCCAAATGGAGGCTCGACAGATACAGCTCCTGGTCTCAAAGAAGGAAGACCACCTGGAAGCTAACAACCAAGCTGGTGTCATGGTGACGCAGACAATTGGGACCCTAGCCACATCCCTGTCCACAGCTGTCCCTCCTTCAAGGACACTAGAACACTGGAAATAGCCCTTCAGAGCAGCTCCAGCTATGAGCCGAAAATGAACTTCCTTCCCTCAATATGGGTAGGCAATGCTGATAGGTCACTGAGAAGTTTGGGAGACCCTCTTCCCCCTAGAATCTTTTTATCATTCATATGGACATGAGCTATCTGAACTTTGACCTATAGAAATGGCTCCCCCAGTAATGAAAGCTAATCTTTAACTGAGCCTTAATTATGAGCCAGGAGCTGTTCTCCATGCTTCAGGTGCTAAGCTGTTCAAGCCTTATAATCTCTTAGAGGCCGAAAAGCAGAGTTACAGATATTAACTAATTGAATACCATTCATCTAAAAAGATATTAGAGTTGATTTAAATCTGGGGCTGGACTCTTAACCACTCTACCAGCACTGCTCAAACTTGAGCACGTAATGGAAGGAATCATCAGAAGGTGACTGGCACCGTCCTCCACTGAAAGGAATAAAGATTTCTTAAAAATGGACTCCTTCATATCTGGGACAGGAAAATTAAAAATGTGCTTGGGATAGCCTGTGGCACCAAAAACCAAGAAAGTGCTTAAAGCTATATGGTCCTGGAAAGAGAAAGCAGGCAGTGACACATGGGTGAAGCATTTGATAAGCTGAGCAACAAAATAATTGAAATCATGGTGTGTTATGGGCTGCACTGTGCTGTCCCACAATCCATATGACTGCATTGCAACCCCAGTATTCAGAATGTCACTGTATTTGGAGATAAGGTGTGTAAGTGAAAATGAAGCCACTGGGGTCCAGATAAGAAGAGATTAGAACATGGATGTGCTCAGAGGGGAGGCCAAGGAAAAAGGCAGGAAAGACAGCATCTACAAGCCAAGGAGAGAGGCCTTGGAAGAAAGCAAGCCTGGCAACAGCTGGTCTCAGATTCCCAAGCTCCAGAACCGTGATAAAAATGGATTTCTGCTATTTAAGATACCAGGTCTCTACCACTTTACTATGACAAATCCAGACAACAAATACATGAACTGCGAAAACACCCACAAGTCCTTTATATATACAAATGTATACTTGAACAAATGAGTGGGGGAAGCTCTTCTTCACAGTAGAATTCCAACTAATAAAGGGAAGGAGGGAAACAGAAACCACCATCATCTGGTAAATAATATAGTGATGATTGCTTGGGCAAGAATCATCAACGAATGTTAAAAATTACTGTATGAAAAGATGGTAAGAAACGAGCTATTTGTGCCGTCTCAAATTCTTATTCTGATTAAGGGTGAAATAGGTCACTGTGCAGTGGAGGACCCTGGCAAACAGCATCTTGACCAAGTGATAAAGTTGACCTCTGCACTGATAAGCCATATCAGCATCCTGCATTCTTCAACAGGATGGACCAAAAAGGGTGGAGAAATACTTCCATGATGCTCTCACAAAAAGAAAAGGGAAAAAAAGGAAAGAAGAGTGTAAAACTGGAATTTAATCATAAGAAATAAATATGATGAAGTCTCTAACAACTAGAAACTTTTCTTCAGAAGATCACTGAGGACCTATCCCAGAATTAAAGGAGCTGAGGTTATGATATGGCAACTAAATTAGATGTCTAATCCTGGGTGGGATCCCACAAAACACAGGACACTGATAGGGCTGCTGATCATATGTCAACAGTCTGTAACTCAGATAACACTGTTAAGCCAATGTCCATGTCCTGGTTTTGAACACCGTATTGTGGCTGAATGAGATACTGACATCTGTGGATGCCAAGTGAAGAGTAGAAGAAAGATCTTTGCAGTGTTTTATAACTTTTGCCTCTTTAAGAGCCCGAGTTATTTCAAGGTGAAGTGAAATCAAATCAGGGCTGGTAGTCCTCAACCCAAAGTTTCTGATTCAAAGGTCTGACTGCATCTTAAAAGAGTGTATGTGTTGCTGAAGATGGAATCCAGGGCCTCATACATGACTGAAGATGGAATCCAGGGCCTCAAACATGATAGGCAAGCCTTCTACTACCAAACCCGCCCTGGTACATTCTAAGCAAATCTTTTACCACTGAGTCACACCTTCAGCTCCACGCTGACACACTCTAAACAAATCCTGTACCACTGAACCGTGTCCCCAGCACTGAGAATTTACCTAAATTCTCAGGCAAGAATGCTGTTGCCAATCCCTCTGGAAGCTACTTCACCACAACACCAAGCCCCTGTCACAAACCTGCCAGGCCCTGAAATACAAGAACAAATCTGGCTGGCTCATCTGCCACTCCACTCATTCATTCCCTCATTCACTCACTGTGGTCCTCCACTTCCCAGAGCCTTGGTCAAGCCCTTTTAGGAACTGTAGCCACCAGGCCACTAAATATGAACCAGTAGGCATTTGTCTATAATTATTTACAGAGGATAGGGTGGCTTCTGTGGAGTCCATCAGAAAAGGCCCATTTTTAGTAACTGTTGTCTGGCTGCATTTTTTGTTGCCTGTCTGTATAATTGTGGGGAAGATCTGGCTTGGGGAATAATGGAGGAAATGGGGGCTTCGGAGCATGAAAAGAGAGAAGAGCCAGATTAATCAACAGTATCCACTTATTTTATATTTCTCAGCGGGCTCCCATTTATTAAAGAATATTTTTCCAGAAGCCAAATATTTCAGCCAAATGTTTGAACCCTGTAATCTCAAAATCAGTCTATGATTTTGAACAGAAATCACCAAGTCCTTCTCTGGAGTCAGGCAGCATGCATTACATGCAGGAAGCATGTGAGCTTCAGGAAATGGTGACGTGATGGCAGTTCTCTAAACTTAGCAGAAATACACACATTGATGCAGGAAAAAAAAATAGGAATTGTCCTTCCTCTGACTCTTACCACAGGCTGGGACAAAGATAGGACCAGCAGGATCAGGACTGGGCAATAGGTGGATGTATATGCTTCCTACAGTCCCAGACAATAACTCTCCAAGAAGCACCCTTCCTGTGGACTAATATTCACCACAAGTGTGTGTGTGTGTGTGTGTGTGTGTGTGTGTGTGTGTGTGTGTGTGTGTGTGTGAGAGAGAGAGAGAGAGAGAGAGAGAATGCATGTGCATGCGTATATGATTTGTCTATTGCACAGCCATGTGTGAGCATGTAGAAGCTAGATAACTCAAAGAACAGAAAGCTTCACATCAAGCAGTTACCACCTTTCACAGAGCACAGAGCGCTGTCCATGTGCTAAGCCCCACCCTAGCACCCTGGGCTACCTATCTGGAAGAATCACAGGTGGGACTTGTACCTAAATCTGCCCAGCTTCAGAAATCTGGCTCTTAACCACAGCACTTGGCTGCTTGGGAATGAGAGAGAGATTCACATGATAAATAAGATTCCTTAACATTCTCAGGCCAACAATGAGGAGCGGATTCACAAACTGCCTTTGCAGCCAGTACCCAGCCAGCACAAGGTTGAGCTGAGAGGGTTGTAGGTTATCCCTGCCTGCTCTTCCAGATAATTTACACTTCCAAACATTGAGATAGCTTGTCGCTTGACAAGGCTGGCCCATCTTTTCTGCCACTGCCTTTTCATCATCCATCAATTCCTTTAATGCAAAGGTTCATAAGACAAGCAAACTTCCCTACAGAGTGGTCCATCCTGAACCACTGGACAGGTCTGAGGAAGGGTCTCAGGTGTGCTGTTTTCTTTTTGCAGCTTCTCTGGGGTTCCATCCCCACTCCTTCCCTCTTCCTGGGGCTGAGTTGCCAACAATTGCTAATGGTAGCTGATGGTCAAAGTCACCCGAGGAGTTGAAAATCCATCTCTACAGAACTCAACCCAGAGCTGAGTTCAAGAGAACTCAGGGAGCTTGAGAATTTGAATTCTAACTCATTCCCAGGTGATACTGACTCTGCTGGTCTAAGAACCTTGAAAACCACGACTGCAACTATTAGCTGTAGTCAGGATGACGCTTGCACCATCAGTATCTGGTAGCATCATCTGCTTCCCCACTTAGTTACCACGGAGCAAGAGCAGAAAGGAGCCCATCCCTGGAGGACAGCTCCCATGCAAGCCTTGCTGCTGACTAGCTGGCTGAGGTTGTGAGACAGCGATGTGTTAAATGTGAGGTTGACTTGGACCAACTCTGAAGTCCACTGCAGTGGAGAGTCACTGAGCTATTTATTATTCACATACCAAGCCTACATCTTAACTCACTCAAAAGCCGGGAAACTCTTTGTGGAGCAATGCACTCACACCTGTGTCTATTTCACAGCTGAGGAGATTGAGACTCCATAAAAGCACACCGCCAAGCCCAGCATAGCATTCTTAGGTAGGTAAAACACTGGGTCAAGATTCTGTACCGTCTCATCCATCGCTAAAGTCCCTGATTTATCTATCATAATACAGGACATCTTTACGTGCACAGCCGGTTTTGGGGGGGGAATTCTGGAGGTTGCTGTAGTAGCCATGAAAAACAGAGGCTATCCTAGTTAACACAAGGTGCAGATGGTGCCTCCCTTTTCCCAGTGTGAGCCCAGTTATTTTGGTAGCTGGGGTCATTAGTGCTGCTTACTTTTTCAAACTACACCCCCCAGCTCTCAGGAGAAATGTGTTCATGCCTCACCTGGAAAGGGCTCCTTAAGGAAGTGGCCGTTGATGGTCTGGTTGGCTGTGCCCAGGGCGTTCTTGGCAATGAGGGTGTAGTTGCCATTGTTGTAGTGGGTGGGCTTGTTGAAAAGCAGGCAGCCCTCAGAGACCTCCCCCTCCTGGTAGTAGTCCATGTGAATGATCTTGGACTCCCTCAGTGGCTGCCCATTGTACAGCCAGTGCAGCGTGGGTGTCGGGTTGCCACGCACCACAAACTCAATGCAGTGCTCCAGGCGTACCTCGGGCTCCACCAGGCTCACCACACGTGGAGGGTCTGTGGGGAAAAGCGAGCTGATATCGGGGACACAGAGTCTCCTGTGTGCTGAAGAAACCTTCTAGGAAGCAGGATGGGGATCCCACTTCTCACCCTGCTCCGAAAAGGCTGAGTAGAGTTCCCACCACCAGCCGATAGAGGGGGAGAGACCTGTGTCTCTTTATCTAAGCTCCCTGGATCCGTCTTAGCTGGAGCTTTCCTCCTGAGTCCTTTCGGGGATGCCAAAGGTAGAAAGGGCCAGCTTAAGAGATCCTTGAAATGGAATTGAATTGTAGACGTGCACCGTCCACTGAGGGACAAGGACATTCTTTCTTGGGTTTATTGGCCAAGAACTTATTTTTTCAGTTTTGCCTTATGACAGCCTTTCTGCCCTTGTTAAAAGACCGGGGTCGGGGCTCTAGATCAGCCCTAGCCGTGGACCTGCCCCATCCCCAGCCTCCTCCTGGTCCCTCCCTGTTGTCCACGTTGACATGCACTTACAGTAGACAGTGAGAGCAACACTGGCATTGCTCATGCCCACCACGTTCTCTGCAATGCACGTCAGGGTGAAACCATTGTCCTCGCTTGTCACGTTCACCAGGGTCAAGTTGATGGCGTGTACATTGGTCCAGTTCAGATTGGTCTGAAAACCCCAATCAGAAGATAATAACCAAACCATTTATCCAAGGATGGCTTCCTTTTCTAAGCCCTAATACCTCCAGAAATCAAGTAAAAGGTGAATGAAGTCTAGCTAGCGGAAACACACAGACCATGTTCCAGATTCTTAGTAATTTGTATTGATCCTCATATTAATACTGGGTGGAAAATGGTAAAATTGGGTCTTTTTTTTTTTCAAAAGAAGAAACCAAAAGCACAGAAAGTTGAGCAGCACAGCAAAGATCAAAATGACCAGAAATCATTACATCTAGATAGAATCTGAGTCTGTATGTTCCTCCCCAGAGAGACAAGATCACAATTTCCCCCTCTTCTTCATAGCTAACGGATGCTCGGTCCCTACCTCTTGATGTGCCTGGTCATAGGATGCCTACCTGATGGGTGTTGATAGACTGCAGCCCGGTGACTATCCAGTCTACATCAGGCAAGGGGGAGCCAGAGCCATTGCAAGTGATTACAGCATTGTCTCCTTCTCGGACGGTCAGGTTGACGTGGCTCACACTGATCTCGGGGAGATCTGGGAGGACAGAGAGGAGAGGGAGATAGAAAGTCAGAAAAGAGCACACAGAGGAGCTCTGCCTCCGGGGACTTCTTGCCTTGCCCAGTGACAACTCCAGTTTAACTTGCTTGTGTTCGAGTGATAGCAACCTTGTGATGGTTACTACCAATTTGACAAGCTCTAAAATCACCTAGAGACACCTCTGAGCATGCCTGAGGGAATATCTATGTTGGGTTAACCAGGGTGGGAAGACACCATATTATGGGCTGGGGCCTGAACCGAATAAAAAGGAAAAAGTGAGCTGAGCACCAACATTCATCTCTCTGTTTCCTGACTATGGATACACAGTGGCCAACTGCCTCAAATTCCCCTCATGCAGCCGTGACTTCCTCACTATGGTGGGTTATACCCTCGAACTGTGGGCCAAAATAAACTCTTCCTTCTTTAAATCACTTTTGTCAGATCAGTGTGAAAAGTAACGACTATAAACCCAGCTGATTCCCAGCCCCTCCTCTGTAGACCTCAGAGGCATATACAGTGGGACGCTCCTACACAGCAGGGTGTGAGTGGTACACCTGTTCATGGAATGGCGTTCTAGCTACCAAGCCTCTATCTTCAACCCACTGGGGGCACTAAGTCTCAGCAATTGGTGTGTGTCAGGTTCCCGTGGGAACTAGAGATTGCATTCCCTAGTGTCTGATTGGTCATTGAAGCTGGTGCTCTAGAAAACAGCTTGGAAGCTCCTGATACAGGAACACCAGAGGCTGTACATGAAGACATGTTCCTTTATGTTTGATTGACAGGTGACTCAGAGAGAAAGGGAATCTGATCTGCTGAGAATGGCACATGGCTCCTTTCGGCATTCTTTCCGAAGACCAGCCTTCCCGCAGCTGGCTCAAGACAGGAATGACCAAGAAGGGGAAAGGTCAGTCTGATCCACACCCACTGCAGAGGTCAAGGCTGCAGATGGCTGGGAAGGAGACCGTAGCGGGCCAGCCTGAGGCTCAGCCCCTTCTCTGGGGTGTGTGTGGGGTGCTGGCCAGATGAGGCAGTGCAGCTGCTCACTCACCACACTGACTGATGTTCATGCGGAAGAGAGGGAGTTGGGAGCCATCGGGACTGATGCAGTAAAGGCTCTGACTGTCCAGCCGGGCCTCCCCCTGCTCCTGCCACAGCTGCATCCAGCGGATGTCACAGCTGCAGTTGAAGAAGTTCTGCTCCAGTCTCCTGTGGGCAAGAAGAGAGGGGAAGGAATCCCTGAACGGTGGATGACCCAGCTCCCTCCCAGGGCTGAGGCCAACGGGCACCTGCGGCTCCTCCATGAAATAAGCCAGATTCAGATAGACAGTCACCCTGTTTCCTCTCATTCATGGATCCTAGACTTCATATAGATGCGTAAAACCATGAGAGAGAGACAGAGACAGAGACAGAGAGACAAGACAGAGACAGACATGAAAGCAGAAGGAAAGCTGGAGAAGGAAGGAGAGAGGGAGGGAGGGACAGACAGACAGAAGGAAAGATGGACGGACAGACCTGATGGACAGAGGGGTGGAGGAAGGAAGGAGAGTAAGGCACTAGCTGGGGGAACAAGGAGGAAGAGAAGGGCATCTGGGAGTGAATATAGTCAAACGCATGTTACACTTGAAATAAATTATCTTAATGGAACCCACCACTATGTACAATGAATATACGCCAATAAAAAATTTAAAAAATAATAAAGGAGGGGGGCTGGGGAGATAGCCTAGCTGATAAAATGCTTGACATCCACACATAAGGATGGGAGTTTGGAGCCCCAGCACCTATAGAAATGTTGTAAACGCCAAGTGGGCATGGTGGCCAACCTGTAATCCCTGCCCTCAGGAGGTAGAGACCAGAATCCTAGAACAAACTCACTAGTCAGAATAGCTGGAATCGGTGAACTCCAGATTCAGCCAAGGAAAACACTCAATAGCAGCCTCTGAAATCCATATACCTGTGCACACACACATCCTCACACACACTTATGCACATCACACACACACACACACACACACACACACACACACACACACACACACACACACGTGCATGCACAAATAAGATAAAAATAATAATAGTAAAGAAAAGAGGAGGTTAAGTGAGCTCACAAAAGAATAATAAAAGTAACAAATAATAAATAAATAGCATTAAGTCCATGCACTTAGTTTCAAAAGTAATAATTTCACTGAAAATACAAATTTTGCCCCTACTTAAATCACTGGGCAAAGAGACCCTTTTACATGAGTCAAGTTGAGATGCTCATCTTCATAAAACCTCCCCATGGCTTCCCATTTCCCTGGAATTAAAAGTCCTATCTGCTCCCCTTCATCAGCAAAGCCATCTCAACCTATACTTCTCCATCATCATGGGATGTCACCTCCACCTCACCCCTGCCCCTATCCAGCCACACCACCTCCTGCCCCACCCCTGCCCCTAACCAGCCACACTTCCTCCTGCCTCACCCTTGCCCCTATCCAGCCACACTACCTCCTGCCCCACCCCTGCCCCTAACCAGCCACACTTCCTCCTGCCTCACCCTTGCCCCTATCCAGCCACACCACCTCCTGCCTCACCCCTGCCCCTATCCACCCACACCACCTCCTGCCCCACCCCTGCCCCTATCCACCCACACCACCTCCTGCCCCACCCCTGCCCCTATCCACCCACACCACCTCCTGCCCCACCCCTGCCCCTATCTAGCCACACTGATCTTCATATGTAGAAGCTCACTAGTGTGACTGGTTTGGACCTGATTCGGGGCTTCTGCCCTTGCTGCCTTACTCACCGGCCAAGCTCTCTCCCAACATATCTGCAAGACTGGTTCCCCTCACTCCATTAAGAAACTGTAGGGCATTCTCTGACTACCATCTATAACAAAGCTGCTACAACCCTGTCCTAATAATGCCCAGCCACTCACCAGCTGCATTTACCTGTCTAGAATTTATTACTATCTCATAACACTTTAAATATTCATATAAGTTTGTTTCTTTGTCCTCTCAGATGAAAAAAATTGAGTTCCGTTGAGGCTAGAGATGTAACCTGTTTTGTGCATGGCTGCAAACACAATACCTAAGATGGATCCCCAGACACATTTTCACTGGGGGAGTAGGTAGTTAGCTCTTTCCAAGACATATTCCAAGCCCATCTTGAGACCAGCTTTCTTCCTTCATGAATTCAATGACTCCTTAATGAGCACCTGTTCTGTATCTGGCTGTGGTTGAATGCTGTTAATAGAGAGATGCGTAAGGCAGTCCTTGTCCTCTGGGAGCATTCACCCAAGTGAAGAAGAATGGCTGATGGGAAAAAGTCCAGTCCAAAGCCCTTGTTCTCCACAGATTCTCCTTGTGACTTAGAACAAGTCACGTCCCTCCTCCATCAGGTTATTAAGAGAGTGATGAACAGTGCTAATCAATCCCCCAAACTCTCAAAGAGCACAGGCTGAATCTGAATGCTGGGGCCATTAGGGGAACATGATTCTCTCTCTGGTCTATTGAGGGGATCGATCCGTTGGCACCTGGAGGAAAGGCACTTGGGTCACTGAATATTTTTTAAGCCCTGGGTATTTTTGACAACTGGCAAATTCTAAAATAGTTAGGCATGCATCAGCATTTGTCAGCTGGCAGGAAAGAGGGGGTGGGGACTAGAGAGAGAAACTCTGTTCCTGATGAGTAGGACAGCACAGGTAGCGTGCACAAACAGCCACACAGCTTATCATCCTCTTAGCCTGTGAGCATCCATGACTTCTCATTCTTCAGGCTCTTTTGGGAAAAGGAAAGGGAACGGACCCAAACTTTACTGGGCATCTGCTTCTCACAGCAATCTTAAGAGGTATCCAGTATTGTCCCTGGATGAACAAAGAAGTCCATCTAATAATGTCTGAAGGTTGTAACGGTTAATCTTCTCTGTCAACTTGATGACTGGATTTATAAATACTATGGAGACAAACCTCTGGATATACAGGGCATAAATAAAAAGGGGAGACCTGCTCTGAATAGGGTAGACTGAGGGAGCCTGAACTGAGTTAAAAGGAGAATGCAAGCTGAGCATCACCCCTTGTCTTGGTTTTCTAACTGTGGACGCAATGTGACCAGCCGTCTTGTGTTCCGATCATCATAACTCCCCACCATGATGGAATGTACCCTCACACCACCATGAGCCCATATAAACTCCTCTTTCAGTTGCGTTTGTCAGTTTTTTCCTCACAGCAATGAGAAAAATAACTAACACGAGGAGTTAACTAACATGTACATGCTCCATGCTCCAGCCATCACACAAACCTGTCTTTATACTTCCCATTGCCTCTTCTCTGAGCAAATGCTGTAGATAGAGCCCAGGGGGCCACCCACAGCACTCCCCTGACTGCCAGGCCTCTCACCAAGAAGACTAAGAGAAGAGGTAGAGGGAAGCCATTAAGGAAAGCAAAGGTCACAAGGCACAGAGGTCATGTCCAGGAGCCCCTGAAGTGGAAATAGAAGTCAGTGGTGGAGGAGCTTTACCAGCATTTTGGGAGTTTGGAGTTTGTCCAGAGAGAAGTAAGGAAACCACTGAAGCTAAGAACTGGAGCTTGGGCCATCAGTTACAATGTTTTGTAAGCACGGGGTCAGCATGTCCAGTTGTGTGGTTTGCGCATCTCTCAAAGAATCCAACCATTGCAGTGCAGAAATTCAGACTCAGTGCCCTGGAATAGAGCTACATCACTCTTGATGGGATATCTTCTCTAACTCATGATTACGGGCATCAGCTGGGCTGGCTGGTAGGGCCCGGACCTATGTTCCTGAACCTCTGTTCTCCTAACTCCAGTCCGCATTTCAACTTTTCCTGGGTGTCTCCAATAGTGTTTGTGCCTGTGGGTATTATCTCCCGTTATTTACTATATTAGAAATTGAAATAGCCATTTTGACAAGTGAGATGAAATCTCAAAGTTGTTTTAATTTTCATTTCCCTGATTGCTAAGGATGGAAAACACATTTGAGATACTTCTTAGCTATTTTTTCTTCTATTGAAAACTCTCTGTTCAGATCCACAGCCCATTTTTAATTGGGTCATTTATTTTCTTGACTGTTGTTTTTATATCGTGTTCTTTGTACATCGTAGATACTAATCCTCTGCCAGATATATAGCTGGCAAAGATTATCTCTCTCCCACTCTATGGGTTTCTTCTTCACTTGATTGATTCTTTCCTTGTCCACACATAAGTTTTTTGTTTGTTTGTTTTATGAGATCCTATTGTTAATTGTTCGACTTAATTTCCAGACTAATGGAGTTCTACTAAAAAAAAAAAATCCCTTTCTATACCTATATCTTGTAAGGTGCTGCCTAAGTTTTTTTTCTAGCGGCTTTAACATTTCAGGTTTCAAATCTCAGGTCTCTGATCCTCTTGGAGATGATATTTCTGCAGAGTGGTAGATACAGGAATAAATTCATTCCTCTGCATGTGGACTGGATGTTTTTCCAGTACCATTTGTTGAAGATGCTGTCTTTTCTCCAATATATGCATTTTGGGCTCTTTTTCAAATATCAGATGGATATTGTTATGAGTATTCATAATTGAGTCATCTATTCTGTTCTATTTGTCTACATGTCTGTTTTAATTCTAGTACCATATTATTCTTATTACTATAGCTCTATAATACACCTTGTAATTTGCAAGAGTCATCCCTTCAGTATTGTTCTTTTTGCTCAGAAATGCTTTGGCTTTTCAGGCTCTTTTCTGAGTCCATGTAAATTTTAGGATTGTTTTTCTATTCGTGGGAAGAATGCTATGGGTATTTGACTTGGGATTGCATAGAAACCGTACCCTGCTTTTGGTAAGATGGTCATTCTCACAGTAATAATTTTATTGAGCCCTGATCACAGGGTGTTTTACCATTTTCTAGCACCCTTCTCATCTCTTTGGAAATTGAAAGCTTTCATTGAAGAATTCTTTCACTGAACTCCTTGGTTCTTGGGCTGAGTTCAAGACATCTTTATTTAAATCTTTCTCGGCGTGTTTGTTGTTGGTATATAGAAAGGCTGCTAATATTTATAAGTTGATTTTGTATATTGTTACTTTGCTAAAATTACTTTTGCTGTTAACTGCTTCTAAAAGTTTTCTGACAGAATTTTGGGGATCTTTTATATATCATCATATCATATCATATCATATCATATCATATATAATATAGTAGGGATATAATAACAAATAGGGATTTTTTCCTATTTGTATCCCT